AAATTATTTCATTTAATCATAATTTCAAAATAAGAAAATGAATTATTCATCACAAGAAATGGATAGTCCATGCTAAGGAACTGTCAAAGGTAATCAAGTAAAGTCCCAAACATAAGACTAGAAATAATAGTGTAATATTATAAAGTCCAACAAAGAGAAACCCAAACCTTGGAAGTTCAATCTACGTGTGGCTGGATCATAATAACAGTAAGACTTCACAGACAACCCTACCATGGTGAACACTTAGGGGTGGTTTTCCCATGTTGGCTGTGGAATATATATTGTACGCAAGATAGATGGTTAAAGTAATCCTTCAAATAATCATCTTACAAAAGGAAACAAAGTGAAATGGTTAAGCTCCTTACATTGAGATAATATTTTGCCAGAAATTCAACTCCAACCGGTCCAAGAATCCAAAGATCGATACCGGAGAAAGGTCCAATAAATCACAAAGATGATGTCTCCAAGGCCGATCTCTGAAGTTCTTTGTTCAAGCATACTCCATTGCACATAATCCATATTATGATTTTGTTCGGGCATACTGTTGCCCGCTCAAGGTAGAAGACAATGAACAATGTCTATTTTCAAGGTAAAAGACCATGAATAATGTCTTCTTTTAGAGGGTAGTTTTAACATTTTTAAGAGTTTTAAGTGGCACATGTTATCATGTGATTAGATAACTAACGGACTGTTAATGGCATGGACCAATTAGACACGTTTGAAAGTTTGGGGACTGACTTGAGACAACCCCTAAAGTTTAGGGTACTGATCAGGAATTTTCCCTTAGAATAATAAGAAAAATCTCACTTGATTTTCCACAAGAAACTAAGAACTTAATTAGTCCTTTTTGCATTGAACTCTCTTAAAACACTAAGAAAAACTAACATAATTTGATTTGCCTTATTGTTGTTTTCTTTTTTACTTTTTTATTTGGCCTATAATTATTGAAGTATTTTTTCTATATGTTTTAAATTATAAAAATGCATTTTTTGCATTAAATCACTAAGTAATCGTTAATACTTGAGACTTATGCCTTTTTACGCCTTACGCCTTGAGGCTTATGCCTCATTCTGATAAAAGCTCAAGCCTTACATCAGAGTTGTGAGACTTTAGCCTTGAGGCAAAACCTATGTGTTTCACCTCAAGTCTTAAGCCTTTTAAAACAATTCTCCCTAGAAACAAGTTGGAATATGCATATGGAATAGTAAGCCTCGAGCAACTTCAGTCACATGTCTATTTTTCTACTCAACCACTCTATTTTGTTGGAGAATATAACTATACAAACTTTGATGAATTATTCCCCTCTCTTCAAGGAAGGCCTGTAAGTTCTTTTCAAAGTATTCTTTTGCATTGTTAGATCTTATCATTTTGATCTTCTTCTCAAATTGTATCTTGATCATATGAAAGAAATTTTGAATAATTGAAAGAACTTCATCCCTGCTTTTCATTAGGTATAGCCAAGTGCATCAAGAATAATTATCAATGAAGAAAATAAAATACTTGTATCCTCCAATGCAAGTAATAGAATATGGACCCATACATTGGAATGTACCAAATGAAAAGCAACATTATTTCTGTTATTGGCAAAATATGTATTTCTACATTGTTTTGATAGATGACAACTTTACATTGAGGGATCAAACTTAACACAAGCTGATACAGAGTAAGAAATAAAAATTTATAAAACCAAAAGACACATGTCTAGACAACAATACCACAATTTCAAAAGACTCAAATTTTCATTATGACAAGAATCAATTTGGCACAATAGTCCTTGCTTAGGGGCTTAGTCAAAAGGGTAGACTCCATTTACTTCATGTCAACTTCCAATTGTCTTTCCCATATTTAGGTCCTAAAAAACACAATGAGAGGAAAATGTTACAGAACAATTATGAAATTTTGTAAGGGACTTAATGGATAAGAGATTTTATGCAATTGAGGAACATGAAGACAGAATTCAAGGAAAGATTAGGTGTAACCTTTACTTCACCTATCCATGACATTGGAGTCTGAGATCCATTTGCTACAACAATCTTACTTTTTTCAATAGTTAACTTTAAAGTAGGAAGGCATACTAGTCATATGTGCACTAGCTCCAAAATCAACAACATGGGAGCTAGAAGATGAAAGGTGACAAGCAAATGCAATACCCATTTTAGCAAAAGAGGTGAATTAAGAGGATCATAAGCTTATCCATCACATCAGAGGAGTCATGTGGAAAAAGTTGGATACCAATAGTCTAACGACTATCACCACTAATTATAGCTAGATGAGGTTTCTTCCCTATTTTAAACTTTACACTTGTTCTTGGTGTGCAAGGTTTTTAAAAACGAACTAGAAACAGAATCGGTCAGGGGACAGGTTTCCAGTTAAGCGGTTCAACCGTCTGGGTCAAACGGTTCAACCTGTGATGTCATAAATAAATTAAAAATAAAAATATATTTATAAATAACAAAAAATAGCATAAAATTAAATGAAAACAGAAAAAATTCAGAAAAAATATAGAATTAATGACTTTTGGGGAATTGATGAATTTTTTAGGAGATTGACAAGTCCAAACTTTTTGGGGGAATTGATGACTTCAGTTGATGATTCTTAACAAGGCCAGAGGAGCAATGGCGTTTCCCTTTTCTTTTTACCTAGGGTGAATTTCTAGAATGAGGAGATTGACAAGTTCAAACTTTTTGGGGAATTGATGACTTCAGCTGATGATTCTTAACAAGGCAAGAGGAGCAATGTCGTTTTCCTTTTCATTTTACCTAGGGTGGATTTCTAGAATGAGGAGATTGACAAGTTCAAACTTTTTGGGGAATTGATGATTCTTAACAAGGCCAGAGGAGCAATGTCATTTTCCTTCTTTTTACCTAGGGTGAATTTCTAGAATGAGGAGATGAGATTGAAGAGAAATAGGCTTCATTTTCTATTATCTTTATCTATCAATTGTAAGAAAAATAGGCTTCAGGTCCTTCACCAGTTCACTGCCGCTAATGGTGGTGTGGCAGTGGCTTGCCGCCGATGGGCTCGGGCTTGGTCGCAGGTGATTGCCACTGCAAGTGCTGCTGGAAGCTTGCAACTATTATTGCCGCTAGAAAGTAGAAACCCCCGCAAAATCGTCGCTGCGAAATCACCTGCTACTGCAAAATCAATGACCGCCACTGCAAGTCGGTCGTCAGACCTGTTACTGCCGCAACTGTTATTGCTAGAGGGCTGGACCTACTGCAAAATCAACGCTGTCGTCGTAGATGAAGTTCATCGCCGTCACCAATCACCGTGAATCGTCGTCAGTCGCTGTGTATTGCCGTCAGACGCCGTAGGTGCGGCCGCCACAGGTGGTTAGTTGGGTGTGAGGGCTGAGAGGAGGGAAGGGTTAGAGCGAAAATGGAGTCATTGTAAGATTTGGGGTTGGGGATATGGTAGTCATTTAATTTTTTTTTATTAAATCAGCGAAAATAAAAAATTATAACCCACGAATCGTTATCTAGGTCGAACGGTTTAGCGGTTTGACCGCCCTGTCAACGGTTTTTTGACTTTTTTAAAGTTTTTTAAGGAATTACCGGTTTATAATATAACTGAACCTAGGGGACTGACTGATTACCGGTTTTTCCAATCCGGTCCGATTTTGAAAACTATGTTGGTGTGTATAAACTTCTTGCTATATTCACACACCACTTAATAGTGTTTTTAGTTGTAATGGCCCAAGCAGAATGGAGAATAGTAATGCAGGCATTGAATATTCAATGGCCCAATCCCTTCAAATCAAGAGAATGAAAGTCTTTATTGATGCAGCTGCCATAGTAAACGAGTTAAACGCGGTACTGCGGTAGACAATTATACCAAGTGGATGGATAAAGCATTTTTTGCTATGTTAAGCTGGTGGCATCATCTTTTGAAGTTAGTTATATATCCAGCAAAATGACACTGTGTTAGCTCATACCATGACATATAAATATAATACTAAAGAGAAATGTTTGTACATGTATAATCCTAACTGGGATCTCCTCACAGAGTGCTTGACATTACAGCCACATCTTAGTGTATATTGGAGACATCTCCTATGAATAATACCGAATAAGAATAAGAGATGTTTTCAATGTGTGGTTGGAATATGATGTGAAATTGGTGTGAGGAGAAAACCCGAGTTTGTATAATCCTTCACTTTGCATGAAACACTCCGATATCTATCTCCTAATGAAACTGGATCTGCTCCTCACACCTGACGTCTTACAGGCGCCTCACACGTATATTCTATCATGTATTAGGAACATCTCCCGTAGTTGTTGGTTATTATTCATGGGAGATGTTTCCAATGCATGATGGATGTGTCTGTGAGGAGCAGATTCGATCACCTCCAAATGGTGATGTAACGGTGATGTCTCTTCTTGGTTGTAAGTTTGTTCTAAAGTAATGGGTGAATTGCTTTAGGGTCTGTTTGATTGTTGAAAAAGGGATGAGAAAAAGGAATATTTTCGAATTATTCTCCATTTTTTGTATTTGTTTACCGGTAAATAATGTTTTAGGACAAAAAACAAGAGGAACGCGGGATCTCAAAATCAAGTGAGCAGGGTCGCACGAGGTGAGAAAAGAAAACGCTAAGAAAATTATTCGGGCTTTGTGAGAGCAAGAAGTCGATTATCTTCTCTCTCCACCACTACATCTTCTTCCTGTTATCAGCACCTCTATGACCGCCGATCATCACCATATCCTCCTCCAGCATTCTAACCATAACCTCCTCTCTGTTCGCTCATTCGCCCTGCTGCTGAGCGTCGCCACCGGAAGCGCCGCCTCTGTATTGAACCCCCATTCCACGCCCTCCGCCGAGACCCTAACGCACCACGCCTGCGTCCCGACCCTAAATCACCATTGCAGAGCATAACAGAAGAGGGAGACCGACCTTACTCCTCCCAATCGCCGCCGGATGCGGACGCGGGCGAGCGACCTTACCAAAATCAAAAGCAAAGAGAAGAGGGTCTCGATACAGCCCGCCATGCGATGGCGTAAGTGGCCAACAACGCTTCAGCCCTTTTTCTCAGTCTCAAGTCCAGAAATTGATGAGAAGCCCGCGAGCCACAAGGAAGAAAGATGCATCTCTTCGCTATCCTCCTTCTTTTCTCAATTGCACTGGAAAGCGACCAGTCGACCACTTCCTTGTTCCCTCTTCTCTGCTTGTTCACTTTTCGTTCCTTAATTACAAGCCAGCATTTTCAGTTGGGCTTTCATTTAATTTCTTCAATTTCTAGCGCTCTCCCTCTACTTCTTAAATCTTTCAGTTGGGATTTCTCTTTCCCTTCCCTTTTAAGCCTGTTCATCTCCCTCTGATTTCTCTGCTTCATTCTCTCCTCTGTTTTGAGTGTTTCAGGGTCTGGGCTTTGAAGGGTCTCTGCTTTTTCTACCATGGGGTGGTTCTTTAAGACCCAACGTGTCATCTACAAGCCTGTAGAGGAAGTTGATCTTAGCCCAGATAGCGATGAGGTTTATCTCCGGGCAAATGGGGTTTTAATCCCATCGCCTTTTCCTTGCTGTGTTATCGTTTGTTTCCTGTGCATGACAAATAATTCTGCGTTGTTACCATCAGGCTGTGAAGTTATTTAATTGTTGTGAGAGTGAGTACTAATGTTCGCAGTGCAAATTGATTAAAATTTTATCTGCAACTGGGTAGCAATTAATGGTTGTCCATGGTAGATGGGATGTAAGTAGAACTCTGTATTAGGAAGTCAATATCTAATTGTTCTGATTTCTTTTGTTCTGTCTCTTCTAATTACTGTTTTGGATATAAATTTTCACAATTGATGACTCCGAAAGAAAGGATTTTGAAATTATATTCATAATCTAGTACTGCAGTTCAGTACAATTTTCATTCCAGTTGAATAAAATCTATTCATCACAGGTCTTATTCCATTTCTGTGCTTCTGTCTTTAAATTTGCTAATGTCTGATATATGCTCTTGTTTTCAGTTAAAATCGTATTTGCTAAGTAAATTTTGGATTAATTATGTAATTAGAAATTGGTAGTTTGTTGAGAACCACCATTCTCCTATAAATTTTCTTGCAAAATAAATACTAGAAAGTGGATTTTCTAACAAAAATTTTTTTAGCAAACAAATACATTATAACTAACTAAGAAAATAAAATTTTCCTCTTCTCATCCCATCCTTTCTCAGTACAATTTTTTCGGCAATCAAACAAACCCTTAGCGTATATATGTAAAAGTTGTGTAGCAGGGCCCACCTTCGATCTCAATGTTCATCCAAAACTAGCTTTATTAGGTGAGCGACAAGTCGCAATCATTCGTAACCCACTATTTTAACCGTCCGATTAGAATAATCCGGAAAGCTGGAAGGAAATTGCACCGGTTGCTTCGGAGTTAAAGCTTCCGTGTTTCGTGTGTCAAACTGTCAACCTCCTATTCCCGGATTCTAGTTGAAACTTAATGGAAAGCTGTGTTTGATGCGCGTGGTGGGTTCGAAAATCGAAATTAATTTCTCCCTCCGTCTCTCCGGCTTTCACAATTTTCGCAACCTTCTCAGGAGTTTTCTGTGGGAAAATCGGTTAGCTCCTCCCCTCTCTCTCTAAAACTTTACTATGTTTTTATCTTTTTAACAATTTTTGCTCCTGCCCATGAGTTTTGAGGCTCTTGTGACAATTGAAATGTCATCTCCATAGGATTTTCCAACATGAATATTCCCTGGTTGGATGTTATAGATTGCATTGTTTAGAGATTGTTGATTAGGTTTTACTGATTGTTCCGTTTATCATTTCTTGTTTTCGCACTCTGGGATCAATAAAAATTGCATCCGTATTTTGGGCGTTTGCAATTGCTTTCTTTTGAGGAAGCTTCTTGCGTGTTAGCTTTTTGAGAAAAATTTGCTTTTCTATAGAAGAAGTTGTAGGAGATACGTTTTGGAATGTTTTGACAAAGGGAAAGATTCATTTGATTGATAAGCATGTGATAACTTAATATTGATTTTACAAATGAAACAATCAAAGCAAAGTTGGTGGTCTTTGGATTGGATCAATATGGGTTGGGGATCCATTTGCTTCAAAGGTAGGAATCTTTAGAAACCAGAGAGATGATCCTGTATTTGGTGGGACAATATGCCACCTGATAACAAACAGCCACGAAGGACTGGAGTTTAATCTTAAATATGATATTCCCTCATCGTTTTTGCATTGTTTGATTTCCCTTCTAGCAAGAACTAGGAAGGTAAAGAGAGCATTTATTCTTCACGAAGGGAATCCATGGAATATTTGAATTGCTTTCTCTTGTTCCTTTGGATTAGTTCTTAAATTCTTAAAGACAAGGTAAACAGTATGGAAATGGTTCACCATGAAACACAAGATAAAATTTGTTGCCTTTCTGTTTGTATTGCATGTGTTATACATACACCTGGCAATAATTGATGCATGTATCAAAATCCATGCAACAAAGACAATGTAATTAAAGCACGGTGTGATGGTGAATTTCTTGTCTTTCAACTTAAAGACCCAGTTACAAATCTTTGTATCAATGTTTTTAACCCATGGTTGAATCAAATGCTAGGACAGATTGACTTGTCACCTGACCTAATTTCTAGGCCTATTTCATCCCGAACCACTAGGGCTGTCAATGACCTAATTTCTAGGTCTATTTCACCCCAAACCACTAGGGCTGTCAAATCTAATTATCCCAGATTTGGATGTTAGAGCTTGCATCTGATTAATAATTGGATTGGATGTGGTAGAGCTTGCATCTGATTAATAATTGGATTGGATGTGGATTTAATCCCATTCAATCCGACTAAAATCCAAGTTTGATAAAAAATATTATTTTATATATATGTAGTATAATTGTTGTATATATACATAGATATTATATACAAATATATGAAGTTTATAACTAATAAATTAATATTTTATATTTATATACATTTTTTATATATGTATAAGCTAAAAATAAATAGTTTTTTAGAATTTTTTAATTTTTTTTTGATTTTAAACACAACAAGATGGATGCAGATTAAATCTGAATCCGGTCCGAGTCCGGCATTTCAGATTTAGATCCAAAGGTTTGATACTCGGATCAAATGTGGATGTAACTGAATCTGATTCTTTTACAGCCCTACAAATCACTTTAAAAAAAAAAAAAACGAAAAAAGACTTGGTCGACTACTTGATCACTTGACCTATTGAATCACTAACCCGTTTGATCCGGTCAATAGGTTACAAGTTAGACATTAGTTCTCTTTTTCTGTATTTTTTGTTTTCTTTGTATTTTTAGCCATTTCAATCATTAACAATAATTCTCATTTATCACACATATTTTCGTTTAATATTATGAATATATAATATTGGAGACATGCTCAATTTTTTTCTACAAATTATGTGAAAGTTAATATATTTCTATTTTTATTATTTGATTTATAACATCATAAGTCAACCTGTTTTACCTGGATGGTTGAATTGTTGGATCACCACTTGGTGGGAAATATGGTTTCAATCAGTATTTAAAACATTGACTTTTTATTTGTGTTTTCAACCCGTTGTCAAAGTGTCTGTCAGAATGGTCAACGCATCAGCTGACCGGGATTCAAGATCCATTTTAATACTAAACTTCTTGCCTACAGAAAATCATTTACTCAGTCAATGACCTGTTGACCCAACCAGTTGAAATGTTTGACCCAGTCAATAAGGTCACACATTTTTTTTTGGTAAAAATAAGGTCACAGGTTAGATAAAATTAAGTCTTATTTTATATTTTTATTTAATGTGATGAATATATATAGTATTATAGATTTGCCCACATTTTCTGAATCATTCTATACTTTTTTGTATTGTTATCTATTTTTGAATGCCTCTGGCATATATGCCTCAGGGCATTTTGGGGGTGCCTTGCCTGGAGACGCACCATCAAGCATACACCTCCCATGCCTTTTAAAACACTGAGTCATACTGTATTGTTTTCTTTGTACAACTTCAGTCTCTCCAGCTGAGTTGATTTGTAATAGGCCATTAAGAAAGATGGTGAACCATGGTTACAGCCCATTCAAGATTGCATGGTGCTAGCATTGTCAGTTCTTCAATCTTCATTGCATGAACTGGATCACAAGGGAGTGAAAGTGCAACAATTTCTTTAGAAAGCTCAGGGAGCAAGAGCTACTTGGTACTTCTGTGGTTTGGATTTAACAATGAGATATGCTCTTTTAGAAAAACAATCAATTCTTGTTCTTAGTCACCTTGGTTTTGGTCGGCGAACTAACTGTTTGTTTTTTACCATGTTTTTATTCTTCAGCAGTATATAAGTTCTCTGTGAATAAGTAATTCCACAATTTCTGGAGCAGTTCAATTGTCCACAATTTCTTAGTCCTCTGTTTTTTCTGTATTTCATCCTAGCTTTTATACAAGTTATACATTCAGCTAGAAAAATAGGCAATGCTTTCATTGAAATGGACCGCTCTTCCTCTATTATTACTTGTTTTCCCCTACCACTTACATTTATGCATTATCTGTTATTCCTCATGCCATATTTACCCATATTTACTTGACACATGCAGATAGGATGTTTTCATGACTTAAGTAAGATTCACCAGTTACCAGGGGAGAAAAAACCTTTTCCTGTTGAAACTAAGGAAAAGAATGTCAGTTGTATGTGGTCAAAATTGCAATGTACATTACCTTTTCCTACTTCTAGGAACTTCTTATGATTACTTGTGTGGTGATTGAGCATGCACCATTTGACATCTATAACATAATGCATTAGAATTTTGAAACTAGAAAGCAAACTGTGTTAACCAGAAGTGGCTTGAAAATATGTCATTATTAGTGATACTTGTCTCATTTGTTGCTGTTGATGCTATCTTCAATAGATCAAGTTTATTTGTCTAACAGATCTTTTTTCTATCAGTTTGTATAGCATCAATTTTACACTCAAGAAAATGGATGATAGAAAGGACAAGAATGGTAATGGGACAGAAGAAAGAGGGCTTTTTTCACACCTTGCTCATGGTCTTGCTGGACATCCTCCTGGACATTATCCACCATCACCATGGGCATATTCTCCACAAGGCTACCCCCCACAGGGCTACCCTCCACAGGGCTACCCTCCACAAGGCTATCCCCCACATGGATATCCTCCCCAAGGTTACCCACCACAAGGCTACCCACCAGCAGGATATCCTCCACCACCAGGTGCATACCCTCCAGCCGGTTATCCTGTTCCATCTGCTCCACATTATGGAGGTATGGTTGCAATGCCCTTACACCCAAAAGTTTTCTGTGAAAGGAGAGTTTTGTTGAATTGCATATTTCTTTTTTTTTGTGAGGATAGCATCCATGAAACGTAGAGAATAAATGGCCATTACCCAATGTTAGTCCTTGCTATCCAGGGTCTTGGGGTGAGTAGATTGGATATCAGAACTGATAATATGGTATTTAATAGATTTTAAACATTAGACGGGTGTCATACAGGATGATAAATTCTCAGTATGGCCTGTAAATGCTTGAGTGCTTCCTCATGGTAACAGCAAGAGAACCATTTAAGCCTCTTAAGAAAGTCCTTGCAATTTCTGTATTGGTTGCTAATGTTTACTTCTGCTTGCTTATGTGGTTTAGACCTATGAATTAATAGGAGGATTTAATGGATTCCATATACTGATACATGATGCACGTCAATCTTCTTGAGTACTTGTTGTCACTTGTCTGCAGAAGTTGAATGCAAGTCAAAAGCCTGCTTGTGAAATTATATACTCCTTTCCTTGATAGCTGCTTTGACTTGAGCTAAACAAATCAAAATCTGCATGTGAAACTATATGCCTTTGCTTTTGTTGTCCCCACATCATTAGGTCTTTATTTACAGGACCCAGTTCTAGCACGGGGGCATTGCTAGCTGGAGGTGCTGCTGCTGCTGCTGCCGTTTATGGAGCTCACCAGTTGTCACATGGTGCTCATCATCTGATGCATGGCCCCCATTATTTCCACGGTTTCCACAAGCATGGCAAGTTCAAGCACCATGGCAAGTTTTTTAAGCATGGAAAGTTCGGCAAACGCTGGAAACATGGGATGTTTGGAAAGCACAAGTTCATGAAGTGGAAGTAATCATCCTCTTTTAAGAGGGAGAAAACTTTGGCTGCCTATGTTCCACAGCCTGGGCTGCCAACAGGGCAGGTTACTTCACCGAGCAATGCATGCAGCAGCAGCAACACTGTTACACCAAACTTGTGTCAGCTAACGTGTTAAACAGGGAGAGCCCGGTTGACGGATCAGGCTGCTGAACTTGCACAGCCAAGTTTTTTTCTCTTGGAGGACTAACTGCACTAATGTTTGGTTGCTACTATTACTACAGATTCTGGGTTTTGAAACATTATCTCCTATTAAGGATTGTAATTACGAGTTTAACTTGTTACTATTGCTTTTCTATGGGATTTACTTGATTAAATAAACCAGCTATCCTTCCTTCCAAGCCTGATTTGCAGCACTGCTTTTTATTCCATGATTTGGGTTATCTATACATGAAGTTGGTGCTATTACTGCTCTATGACTTTGGGGTATGAATGAGATTGCCCTTGGAGAGCCAAAAATTTCTAAGCTACCAATGTGATTAGTTACTTCCGCTGGATGGTGGCGTGGAGTGGAACCCATTGGCCATATATGCACCTATGGGCTCCGAGATGTGCGCCTAATTGGGTATGACATTGATGAGGTGACATTTACATTGATTGTTCAACCAAAAGCACCAAAACCGACTTTGTTTAGCAAGATTTAAACAATAAAAAAAAAGTTTAGAATGACAATACATTTATGTTTATCATTCAACAAGACCAAGATCAATTCAGTGTCTTTCAATTATTTGCCACCCTATATTCATCAGACTCAACAGTCAGAAGTCTTGCATTGGTCAATACAGAAATATAAAATATAAATAAAACAAGTGAACAACCCATCCTGTTCTATCCATGTGAAATGATGTAGATGATCGATGAGACTTGAGAGCAGGGAACATCTGGATTGAACTGTGTTTATCGTCCTTCTGCACTAACATGATTTAACACTCATGGTCTTTCGGATCAGTACGTTGGTGTAATTTTTTTTTGACGCCTTACATTGGAATAATCTAATTCATAGTTCTAATATCTTAGCTTTATGGACATTGTTATAAACAAAAACTAGTAGATCGGCAGGAGGATTTTGCTGGAAAATCGAGTTTCTCCACAAAACCTACTTTGAAAACCAGTGACGCAAAAACTGGAGTTGACATCCAACTAAGAAGCTGCCGGGTTTAACTGGGTGGCTCAACCAGAAAGACCACAAAAACCATACAAAACTGGGAACAGAATGCTCTCCACTTCATCATTTATCCGGTTTGACCATTCAATCCCAACTTGGTTTATTAAAATATTGCAACTAATAACTAGGTATATGTTTGGCATCGATGCTGCAGATACAGCACCGTTTTTCTGAGAAAATTGTGTCTTTTTTTTTATTTGGAATCGTTGCTGCCAGGTAGAATGTTTCTTGGAGCAACAGCAACTTTTTCTGTTTGGTACCAATGCTTCAGGAAACGTTTTCAGCCACATCACTGCCGCCTCACATCCTTATTGGCAGAAATGAGCTGCAACTCCAGGAAACATTAAATTCGGCGTTGCTCCAAGCCATGCCTTCCCAATTTCCAAGGCATGGCTTGGAGTACTGTTTTTTATGAAAAAACGATTCCAAACAACGTCTGTTTCCTGGAGCACCATTTTTTTCGACGTGACACTAATGTGACAGCGCTTTCTGGAAGAACGGCAATGATGCCAAACAGACGCTAGATGTTTTGCATTGAAATTGGTTTTGCACCAACTTGGTATGAAACTACTTGCCTCATTTTTGAAAAAAACAATAAAAAAAAACCATTGTCTCCTTTGGTGTTATGGGCCTCATGGCTTTCATAAGGAGGGGACGCGGTCAAGATTGCAATGCAACCACCAACCCCAAAATGAGCAATGCCCATGATCTAGGGATTGCAATTATGTAAGAAATTTGGGTATTTTACGCGTCCCAACCCTAATAGGACTCGTTATCAAAACCCTATACGGTTTGGGTTTGGACCCTAGGATACATGATACCCAAACGTGATTATATTTAATACAAGTACCTACTCTCATTACCTGATTATAAACCCTTGTATATATTATTATGAGAAAATATATGGTGTTGGAAAGACATGATACTAGAAGAATAAAACCCCTCATGAAAAAGTATATGATTTGTTACCACTTTTTATGTGGTTATAAGTTCTTCTGGTATCATAGCCAAACCCTAATAAATATATCTTTGTGGTTGATTTGAGAGTGTATGAACCAGTCATTGTCTACAATAACAAATAGACTAATGCTATTTATTTTCCAACATAACCATAGGCCACCTGAATAACCAATTGGGTTTACAACAAATTTTTCATCAAAATTTAACAATTTTAATATTTTCTCTCCCTATATGGTTTAATCTCTTTGGAATTAATTGTTTTAAATAACACTAGCAAGAACCTGTACGATGCACGAACTTTGTTAAGTGAAAGCTAAACAATAAAAACACATAATAGTAGACAATTGTTTTATATTTAAATTTTTTATACAATTAATAATTATTTATCTATTTTTAATATTTGGTTATTTAAAATATTTATTTATTGAAATATTTAAACAATATTTTATATTTTAATTTTAAATTTTATTATTTGAATAATCTGTAAAATTATAATTTATATTGTTATTACATAATTTCATTATGAACTTCATAAAAATATAAAGTTATTAATAATATGAATATTATTAAATCTATTATAATTATTTTTGTGTTTTTAATAAATATTTTAAAGTTATTATATAATTTCATTATAATATTTAAATAATTGTTATTATTTTTTAATTCAAACTTTCTTTAGATATATATAGATAAAAAGTGGGGGAGAGAATAAATAGGAATTAGAGATAATAGAGATAATTTAAGAGATTGTGAGGGCTAGTGGTGCCAGGTGACTAGTGGGGGATAGGAACGAATTGGAGCAAGGATTGACTAAAGCAAATGACTCTTATATCTTTCCTAAAAAATAAGTGCTAACTATATGAGTTTTATTAGTTTCCTAATGAAAAGGAAAGGAAAAAGGTAAATTGCCATGCTAAGGTGGCAACTCCATAGGATTTTAAAGGGAATCTTGCACACCCTCTAGGAATTCAAGATTTGGGTAATGGAGCAAGCAAAGGTCATATGATGTGGTCAACCTTGTTTTAATATATACTAGCGGGGATTTATTAAGGGAAAGTGAAAAAACCAAAACTTATAATTAAGGAATGCAAAAATAATTTACAAATTTAGTAATTTGGATTAATTATATTAATGTTTTTAATAAAAAGAATAAATTATTGCTAATTACTTAATAAATAATTATTTTTTCATATTATCTATTTTGTTCTATTTTATTTATTTTATTTTATTAATGATTAAATGTTACAATTGTTTTGTAAACATCACTTAAATATTTAAAACATTTAAATATTAACAAATATATAAAATTAGGCTATAGTCATAATCAAATTAATCTAAGTCCGAATTCAAGGTTTAAGACTTTGGATTAAAACAAACCAAGTGGAACCCATTTATACATTATTTTTGAGTTTTTTAACTATTTTTAGATAATATTGAAGTCGAAGGAGCTATGGGGGATGGGTTACCCCCATTGTATAAGACCAATGAACCAAAAAAATATAAGATCTTAGGCCAAATTTTGATAGAGTATCAAAATTTTGTAAGGTTGCCTGGCCTAGCCCTACCCACACCTATGATATTCACCATATATGTTAGGGCCTAGGACATGGATAGGCTTGCCCATGTTAATTATAAAATTATGATATGCACCATATATGCATATAACTTCCAAGTAAGATTTAGGAGTTGCTTAGCTTGGGCCCTATCCATTAGGGCCGTCATTGGACTTTGAAAATTTAATACACGGCCGACTAGACAGTGTGATGCACAAGAAATATGATATCAAATAATAAACTAAAAGGAATAAAATCAAATGTACCACGAACAACAATCATTCTAAGGATTAAAGATGACAATCTGACCTGCCCTCATTGAGGTTCTAACCCATCCTACCGCAACATAGTTGGGGAGTTTTTTTTTTTTTTTTTTATCATTGATTGGGTTTATGGCGGATTTTTAGGAAAATTAACCTGAAACTCTAGTGGCCAAGGACTTAGCGGATTTTTAAATGCACCCATAGCGGAAGAACTACTCCCAGATCTTTCAGTAATGCTTGTACCCAAAGACACTGTTGTCATTGAATCAGTCTCAGAGGATTCTCTTCTTCACGATTCATGGAAATGAAGTTTCGTGTTTAAAGTCCTAATAAACCTATTAAGGTGATAGGTCTTACGGAAATGCTATCTAAGATTGTGTTTGGAAAGGATGCAAATAAATGTGAATGCAAATATGTAGAGTATAAAACGGTTTATATAAATTATAAAATTGGATTAGTTTTGTACCGATAAATTTATCTTCTTACCAAATAGAATTTTAGTTGTAATAGATGCAAATACGGATTCCACTAAAGTATATGTCCTTTTTTTTTATCAAAAACCCACTTGAATGCAAATTTACTTTTTTTTTATTGATATATTTTTACATCTTATTATCAATGTAAATATAAATTGAAAAATGTATTTACTATCGTTTATCAACTAAAATACAAATTTACCCTGAATTGTGATTTACACTCCATTTACATCGTTTCCAAATGCAGCCTAAAGCCTGGAAGATCGCGTCTTCTTCCATTCTTGATTTCACAAAGGATTCCTAACTCGTAAAATTCCCGAATGGTTTCGATGGGGTAGAATCATCAAACCTGGTCCCTGGTTGTACGAAGTTGACTTGATCGTGATGCACAAGGCTGAGCCTCAAAATTAAGAGCTCGGATTCTTATACCCTAACTTTTGTTTATCTCCATGTTCATCTTCTGGGCTTGCCTATGGCATACTTGACCACTAATGCAGCGTGTCAAGTTGGTTAAAAATTAGGAAAATCATATACTCCAGCGGCATAAGAGAGTAGGCGTGTTCTCCTCTACTTTTGGCAAGTAGTAATTAAAACTACCACATGGAAATTTCTTATTGATAAATGCCATAACAAATTAAAAAGTTAGTAGACCAATATCAAAACTACTTGGTTTTTGGGTTGAAACTTTAAAAGAAATTCAAAACAGGGGCTTCAACTGCTCATTTCCTTGGTTGAATAAATCCACAATAGGAATTGAAATAAGTTTCAATGCCAAGATTTAAGGATAAATGTATGAAGTCCCTAAGAACTTACCTTTCTAGCACTTAGTCCTTATTGGCGACAATCACCAATCACCATAGTCGGATTTCAATTGGGAACCGCTGTTGATCCAAATGGTCATATCATTTGACCCGGGAATCGTTCAGGGAATCGGTTCCATTTTATCCTAAACCTATTCCTTGGCCAAAAACTGTTGCATTGATCAATGATCCATTGATCTGAGTGATCGCACAGCCAATCCGTTTAACAGGTTTTAACTGTTTTATATTTTAATTATTTTTTATTTTTTGTCAGAATGAACTGTCCATTCAAATCAGATAGTTGAACCGTTGACCTAGAAACCGGTGGCCATAATGATTCCAGTTCCCAATCATTTTTTAAAACATTGGTCATTATAGTGACATTGTTTGGTGCAGAAAACATTACATGAACAGTGGACTGAAGGGGGATTTTCGGCAAGAAACCAGTCAAATAATCATGGTTTTCTTTCATTAAAACTTGATGTTTGGGAGGTTGGGCTTACCTGATAAACACTGTTCCACAATAATGTCTTCTACAACTTTCTGAAAACTAAACCTACACAAATTAAATACATAGAACTGGACCGATGCATGGAAAACAGAAGGCAACACTAAAGTCTTGAGGCCCTCGGATTGTTGTCTTGCTTTTTCTTCTCGTTTGATCCTTTGGGTTTCCTTTTCTTCTCTAATATAACACCGAACAGAGCAAGAGAGGGAAGGGATATTGAGATGAGCACACAAAGAGGTGCAAAGAAACATTGAGATGGAAAAAAGTAATTCTAGGCCCTGTTTGGCATGTTTTTTCACATGGTCTGTCCGCTATTTATAAGTCTGGCAGACTGTGATTCAGTCTTATTTCTGTTTCGTTTGTAGCAAATTTAGTCATGAAAAGCCAACATACTGAAAAGACGCAAGAAGCTTAAATCGGGCGATTTTCAAGAAGATCCAAATGAAGTTTTTATGTTTTTTTTTTTTTCTATTCATCTTCGTGCAGAAAAATGCATGGAAAGACACACCTTAATCAAACGGGTTTCAAGTTATTCAGATCTTAATACAAAAGCTCAATGCATCTTTTGACTGCCAGAGCTATCCGAATATCTTCCCAAAAAGACTTGCCAAATGGTCCTTAATTTCTAATTTTAATAGAGACGTGATTGAAAAAATAAATTGGAGAAATTTGTGGAGGTAAATAGGGAATTTATAACAAATAATGAGGTACAAGAAAAGAGGAAATTGGCTTTTGGAAGGATGTAGGGAAGGGGATATAACCAAGGTTCAAAAAATAGTTATGTATCGGGCCCTTCCTGATACGCTCTTACAGGGATTGTGTCGAGTCAGGGCCTGGTTCAGAGGGTAGTTGGGGCTTAAACCGTCCCCTCTGGACCAAAATCAGAAAAAAAAAATAAGTGGAACTAAAAAAAAGGGATTGATACTGGCCCATACGCCAAGTATCGATACTTTGAACCTTGAATATAACATACCAATCGTGGCCTGCTTGGTTGGTAGATGCTCATTGTTTGGTAGGTGTTCATTGATATGCTTGGAAAATGATGTGGCATTAAAAGAATAAGAAAATTCAAAAAAAAAAGGAGAAATTTAGAATTAGGATTTTGGGGCAAGTTTTAAATAAGAGCAAGATTGTCAGTAGACTGAATAGATATATATAGAGAGAGAGAGAGAAAGACAGTAGATAGATCGCATTTCTTATTAGACCTTGTTCATTTAGAATTTTACAACTTATTTGAGTGAATGCATTTATCCACCTAAATGTTTTTTGGATAGCATTTATCTGGATAAATTCAAAGGTTTTTAAATAAATAATAAAATTACATTTTATTCATAAAAAATTAATATTAAAAAGAAAAAGATATTAATATTAGTTACCCACTCGAGAGATCAAATAAGTTTTACCCATAAAACATAAAACTGCTTTTACGCTGAAATTCATCCATAATGAGAAAAAGGATAAAGTTGGTCAATTAAACCAACGAGCCGGGCCGTAGTTATAACTAAAAAATTTCCGTTGTTTCATTTTCTCTTGACAAATCCCGTGCATCGTACGGACAGATTCAATAGATTAAAGATCGTCGTCAGGCAAATGAACAACTTGAGCTGGGAGGGCCCTCAACCTGGAATTTGATTTCGAGCTCAAAAGTTGAAATTGAAAACTTGTGGCTCCACAACTTTTTCTTCATTTCTTTAATCGCATCTCTCGTTCTTCAATCGCAAGGGAAGAGGCGAAACTAGGGAACTACAAACCCTAGCCTTTAATTTGTCTCGGTGAGTCCCTCATGAAATGGGAAATGGAGATCGAAGAGGTCGAAGCAGTTCTAGAGAAGATTTGGGACCTGCACGACAAGCTCAGCGATGCCATTCACGCAATATCAAGATCCCATTTCCTCAACTCCATCAAAACCCTAAAGAAATATGACGAAGCTTTATTCTCTCGCAATTTCGAGAAGAAGAAAATTCGAAATGATGGTGAAGACGAACGGAACGGATTTGTCTTCGTCAAAGACTTCCGAGCTGATGACGAGGCAGCAATTTCTGAAGCCAAGAGCCTCAACGCCATCAGAACTGCACTCGAGAACCTAGAGGACCAGCTTGAGTTCTTAAATGTAAGTTTCTAGGGTTTCTGTTTTCTCGCCATTTGTTTTTTGGTTTCCTTCCTTAATATTGGTATATAGTTTGTCCGGGTAAAGATAGTATTGCGGATTATATCTTATACCCTTTGTCTTTGAAGTCGCCCTCCTGATACCGGATAGCTTGTTCCTATGGCTGTGTTTGGTTGCAGTGCAAATTTATTTGCACTAGTACAAATACATGGGAGTACAAACGTAAAAAATGCAAATTCTTGTTTAATTTTGTTTTGGGTTTTACTTTATTGTACTTCATGTCTTATTTTACTTCATTTGTACTGCAATCAAACATAGTAAGCTAAATTTTGAAACAAAAATAGGTCAGAATTTACACTCAAGTCATTTGCACTGTCATGGTTTTGAATCAGTGCAAATTTATTTGCATTGCAACCAAACATGGTTATAGGAAATAACTAAGTAGGGAAAGAATGATCTAATGCACCGTTTCTCTGTGAATTCTAATAATAATTAAGGAAAAGAGTTGGTTAAATTCGAGGTAAACAGGGTGAAAGTCGAGTTCATGCTGTGCATTGTGACCTCTAATCTGATACAATCAGTCAAATAAAAGCAGAGAAATAGCCGTTCTATGAGAGCAGTTATAGTTCCGAAATTCAAATAGTAGATATCTTACTATTGGATAGGTAATCACATATACCATCTATACGACTGACCTTATATACTACTAAGGTCTGTGCTGCTTTCTTTAAGCTATGGGGATCTATACAAGCTGAGCTTAGCCTTCCATTTCCTGGAAAATTTAAAATTTAAAATTTATGAAGTAGATTCGTTTTGTTATTGGCATCAAATATCAAATGGATTGTATTTTTTATCAGTAATATCAAACATATTCTGTTTTAATAGTAGGTCCTGTGTACATTGAGTAGCTGTACAAAAGGACCTCAAAGGAAGGCCATCATCAAAAAAGTATAATGAGAAAAATTATCTTTAAAAACAGTATGTATAGACATCCAACTTTTCAAAACCTCTATTGACCAGTTAATGACCTCTTCGGTAGAAGTTTTTTTGTTTTTTTTTTTCTCAAGTATATTGTTTTATATGTGGAGATTGCAAAAGATAATGTACAAGATAGCCAGCAATAAAAAAGAAAAGAGAAAGAGGGTATATCACAAAGCTAGATGCACACATAGTTGTACACACTTTCTTTAGCAATAATAACTCTCTGTACACTAACTACATCCCAGTTGATATCAATCAAGATAGACCATTATCAATAGCACTTTCATATCCTTATGCACCTAAAAAAGCAGGACAAGAAGCTAAAAGGCTGGTCTAATTTCATTTGGCATTCATGATAATTTCAAATATTTTTTGCTCTTATGTTTCAAAACCTCCAATCAAGTAAGATGAGGCTCTTACTCTTAATGCATTGACACCCCTAAGGTCATATAGAAGTGCTATCACTTTTTCCATAGTGGAGCCAACCTCACAAATAAGACCACCAGGGCCTTAAACATATCCCAATTTCTGTCTCACAAAAAAAAAAAAGAAAAAGAAAAACTCTTGAATCCTTAAAGATTCCCAAGTTGAAGAGTCATCGTCAAATCCCAATACTAACTCCATGGAGTAAAATCTACAATGGCTTGTGCCAAGTAGTTAGGATGGCAAAGATTATATTGCCAGCAAGATCCTAAAAATCTTGGTATCTTATTCAGGTTACTCCCCCAAACTTCTTTTTAACTAAAACCCAGGAGGCAGCTAAAAATAAAATTCCATCTTGGATAAGAGGGGAAATGGTTGTTTCAAGAAACTTTGTATTTTTCCTCAAGAGGATCCCATGTGACAGCATGAATCACTTCCCTTTAAAAGAATTTTGTGAAGCTTACCTTATTGGTGTTCTTTTGCGAATCAGACATATCATATCATATTGGGAGGGGGTCAATACTCTAAATAAAGGTTTTTTTTTTTCTTTTTTCTTTTTGGTTATTTTCATGGGGTGGGCAGGCCTAAGACTGACCCCCTGACTTATTTTTCAAAAAGTAAAGTGTCGATACACCCCTCCCGGCATATTGGTGTGTATCGATACTTTGAACCTTGGCTACACTAGGCGAGTATCCCACTGCAAACTCAAAATGTGTAGGGAAATGATTCCAAGCATCCTGTGTGAAGGAATATGGGGAGGAAAATGTGATTAATTTATTCCATGTCACAGTAAACTAAATCATTTTTACAGGGAAATGGATTGTGAAGTGTTAGGAAAGTCAAGGAATTGGTGAAGAAAGAAGCATTTTGGTGGAAGCAAGCCACTTGGCTTAGGCTTCTAAATCCTATGATCTCTAGAGGCAACCAAAATGAAATAGCTAACATTACCCAGTATTAATTTCTTCTGCATATTTAGCAACCGTTTTTTGGCCAAAAAATTATTTTTTGGGTCTTTAATGTTGTGTTAGACCTTTTTATCATTTTGGTACTCAGTGACTGAGAACACAATTATATTTAAAAATTATAAATACAACTCACATATTCTTTGTGTTTTAAGTGTTTTAAGTGTTTTAAGTGTTAGACCTTTTTATCATTTCAGCTTCTTCGTATGGTTCATGATCATCATCTTCTCTAAGCCTTGTCCCAAATATACGGGGTTGACTACATGAATTCTGTTTTGTCATTCTATTTGTCTTAGTGCCATATCCATTGTTAAATTATGAGCACTTAAATAATTTCTTACTACTTCAGCCAATGTCCTTTCTAGTCTGCCCCTAGCCTTTTTAGCCCCCTTCAACATGCAACAGACTGCTCCTTCTTATGGGTGCTGTGGATGGTCTTCTTATTCATGTGAGCAAACCATGTTAGTCTATTTTCTCTCATTTTATCACCTATTGAAGGCTTGAAGCTACTCCTAGGTTCCATCAAGTGACTTCATTTCTTACCCTATCCTTTCTCATTCTTCCATTCATTCATCTCAGCATACATATTTCTGTCATACTCATTTTCTTAGGCATGTCGTTTCCTTCTTAACCTGGTTCTAGAGTAAATTAATTACTTTAACAAATTTAGATATTCATTATTCCTTGCATTGAAAAGATTGAAACTTTCCAAGAGAAAGCTAAAGAGGCATTTTTTCTTGTAACTTGTAAATTGTAAATTGTACCTCTTTGCAATGCATTTACACTATATTTAGAATGTTATCTGTGGCTGCCTGGACTGACAATGATGGACCTAACCCATCTGTACTGACAGGATATACCTGGGTAATTTTTAAGGAGTACAAGAAGAATGTCTCCATAGCATTGCTTGTTTTCCAATCCCTTCTTAAGAATATTATATCATTATCTTCTTCTTATTTGGAATGTGTTAGAAGTAACATGGAGACTCTAACCTTTCCAGTTTCAATGAATTTATTCCACCTTATTATGCCTTGTGTAAACAAAAAGAAAATTCCATTTTTATGCAGAGGACAAGTGCTTTTGCTGTCGATGATACCATACCCTCATTTAGGTTGTGTTTTGTACCATTGGCATTTCAGGCTCAAACATTTAGAGAGGCAGTGATATTTCATACACATGTTTGGTTGGTATTTATGAAGTTACGATGACTAGGTGTTGAACAAGTGTTTTGAGCAATTGTTTGGTATATTGACATTGCTACCTAAAACATTTAAATGAAATCTTTATATTCACTGTGACACCACCCAACTATACTGATTCTCATCCAGTGGTCAAATTTAACGATAAATATTTTCTGATGGTTGGCTCATTATTACACATAGATTAACATCTAGGTGCAGATCTAGTGATTCTAGAACACAATAGTTGCTTATTAGATAGGACCATAGGAAAGGGAGAAAAATTATATTCCACAAAACGGATATTGTACTTGTGTTCATGTCTGATTGACAATATATGTTACCTGTACCCTATTCCCTACTCCCTAGTTGCCTATCAATCTGTATCAACTTTGCTTCCAGAATATTTTCATGTAAGGTACATGTAGTGCTTAAGCTGTTGTATTCTTTCTGTAGACGGTACAATCTCAGCAACGGGCAGAAAGAGATGCTGCAATTGCACGGTTGGAGCAAAGCCGCATTATCCTTGCAATGAGGCTGGCTGAACACCATGGTAAGAAGTATAAAGTCATAGAAGAAGCTCTTGCATTTGTGGGAGACGTACAGGATGAGGGCCGCTTTGTATCCCCAGAAAATCTGTTGGAGTCTCCGAAGAGTCGATCTGGTGATAATTTAGAGGGTGCAGAAGGGAAGAAATCAAATGTTATGATGCAAATTTTAGTATCTAGTTTTACCTTTGCCAAGAAATCTCTTAAACTGGAGCGCATGGGCGGAGTTGTAGGGAATGCTGCTTTGTTTGCAGTTAGCATGCTTGCTTTACTGCAAGTACATCAAGCTGTATTTGGAAACAATTTTATTGCAGAAGTTCGGCATATGCAGGAGGATTCTTTTTATAGGAAGAAGAGAGAGAAAAATATTTCAGAGTTAGAAGGATATCCTCCTTGCGTGAAACATTTGGACGTCTTATTGGCCAGGGGTTGAGGTGGTGGGATTTTTTTTTTTTTTTTGGGCAGTTCTGTGCAAATCTGTGCCATATTAGTGTTTTAGCCTTGTAGGGGGCTAATTCACACTTGTGTGATGAATGGAATGAATATCATGTTTTCTTAGCAGTTGTTACTACCACGAAATCATAAATGATGCTGGCGTAGAGTTTGCATTGGTTCATAGTTATTTTGTTCTTTCATTTCATTACTCGATGTGTTTTGTTTTGTTGTATATTCTCCTAATTTTCACAAATTCCTGTTTTTGATGTTCAATATGACTTTGCGTCTATAAATCATTTATTGTGGATTGAATATGTTCAATTGTTTATTGTTCACGCGCGGGTTATCCTCATCATTTTTTGTGCTTTTTTGTTTTTTTAACTGATCCGCCACCGCCAGATACTGATATCCTAGGTAATTCCTACCTTCAATCGCATCGGGACTGAGCAAAATTATCCAGTATCGGTGGTATCTATCAAGGTTCCGAGATTGGATGCATCGTAAAGCAGTGTATGAACGTTGCACATAGTCATGGGGTCCAACGTCCAACTGGGCTGGGTTTGGCTTTGCGTTAACCATTACCAATCCCTGGGGTTGGATGGAAAGGTCGGGTTTGAGATGGGTCAAGGCACTTTTTTTTTTTGTTTTTGGTATTTTCACGTCGGGTCAACTTGTGGGTTGAGAACCAACTGAGTGGTGGTTTGGTTGGCATGTTACTGGGTAGGCCCAGCACCAGCAGAGATGCATATTCGAATCTTGCTATTACCACCTTGAAAAGTTAGCGTGTGTCCTTCACTAGATTTTAATCCTAAATATTCAGATTAGGGTGAATGGGGCAATGCTCAACTTCAAGGGTTTTTTATTCAAGGGTTTTACTGTTTGGTTCAAGTGACTTGAATGATTTAATCATTTGGTTTGAAAAATAGGTGGTGTGACCCCACCGAATCCATTTTTTGGATCGGATCAGGGCTTCCTTCTAGTTCGGGTCATTAGATAGGGGACCCTAATCCGCTTTTTCAGGTCGGGTGGGCTGGGTTGTCTATTGTGTATTTGGAAATTGTAAGTACAACGTATCCAATATGCTGTAGCGGCAAAAAAAAATAAATAAATAAAATAAACGAAAAGGGCAAGTCCTTATATAAGGCTTCTACTTTCTAACATCTTAAGCCTTCTTTTACTCTGAAATTTTGTGAGTCTTCTAAACGATTCAAAATCTGCAAATTTACAAGAATAAAAAATTGAAACAAAATGATCAAGACTTGAAATTTTTGAAGCTAAAAGTGGGTTGGCACAACTTGAGCAAAACAGTAAATCTTCTGGCCATTTATTAATTTAATCTTTACGGTTTCAAATGATTTTTGTATTTAAATGCTTGAAATCAATTGATCTACTCATATTTGGTTGAGATGCATAGATTATTTGTTCTTATAAGTAAATCTTTGAAAATTTTTCAAAAACAAAAAATAATAGACAAATATAAAACACCTACATGGTGTCATATTACAAAACACCATTGCAGAAACACCTACATGGTGTTGAAATTGCAGAAACACCTTGGGTATACAATGGATATATGGTTTTTGTTGTATAGCCCATTCGTGAAGAAAAAAAAAATATATATATATATATACATATACATACTTTCATCATCCTTCTCTGCTCCCTTTTTCACAGACAGACACATATACATAGACCAATGCATATATCGTAGATTACATACATTTACAATCATATGATCTACAACACTTGATTTTTAATTCAATCAATTAAGGTTTTAAAAATCGACCTAGAACTGGAACTATTCTGTGCACTGCTTTATGGGTCGACGGTTCGAATGGATGTCCCATTCTGATAAAAAATAATTTAAAAAAATTAAAATAATAAAAAACGGTAAAAAATCATTAAATGGATTAACAGTTTAACCACCTGAATTAACGGCTCATTGATCAATTTAATGATTTTTAGTCAGGAATCAGTTTTAGGGTAAAATGAAACCAATTGTTCGCAGTCCGAATGGTCCAACCGTCTGAGTCATTTATTTTGTCAATGAGGTTTTGAAGACACCAGACACCGTAGTGAAAAAATTTAAAGAAGTGACAATGCAATATACACAACTGGCGGCCCATCGCCAAGAGTGTTGGTTCGTTTTAATAAGATTAATGGGCTGTTCGCTGATGTAAGGGCTTCAAATACATACATTTTGTACTTTTTTTTTTCCCAAAGTGACTTTTGAAACAAACACTATTTAGGTATTTCTTGCTCTAAAAGAGTGTTTTCACTTTGGGCATCTTATATATGGTCTAAAGTATTGAGTCTTTGATACACCCAAATGTATTGACAGGAGTGTATCGATACCTTTTACCCCACACGTTCTACTTCTTTTTAGTTTTTTTTTTCAAAATTTCATTTTTATACATATTTTTATATTCTTTAACCAATAAAATAATTGATTTCTTGAAAATACCTTTAAATAAATGCATCAAAAACACAACAATACACCTGATAGAGGGCATATCATATCAATACTTTGAACCTTAATCTTATGCAAGGTTCAAAATTTTAATATGATACGCCCCGTATCAGACATATCGGTGGCTTAACGATATGCCCCCTAAAGGGATCGTATCGGGGTCTGACCAGATTCAGGCTGTAGACCAGCCTTAGACCGATCCCTTTGAACCAATTTCAAAAAAATAAAAAGGGGGGAGAGCGAACTTCGATATAGCCTGATACACCCCTACTGACATATCAGCCTGTCGATATTTTAAACCTTGACCTTAGGTGGTGTCTAATGGCCCTTGCATGTCGTGAACAACAAACAATTATGCATTGTAGGTCAAACAATATACTCCACTTTGCCAATTTCGAATGCTAAAAACAAGTGCAAACATAACAAACTTATGCAACACCACGATATCAAACACCTTCAAAATCGGACATTTGGAGTAGGAGCCTATTCTGTTAATACACCTGAACCAAATTCTTAGGTCAAAAGTAATTTTTGCAGGTTTCTAAGAAAAATTTTCTTATGGGATTTGAAGAAGGGAAATTTGGCTCGACCTCGCAATCACCCGACATGTGGCAAAGGCAAGCAACTCGGGATAGTAGAGTGCCCGAAGCGAACATCGGAAGCAAGTCCAAGCTCACTATCGAGCCCGAACTCCAGACCACTCTACTGAGTCCGAGCTCCCTACCAAGAGTCCGAGCTCCCTACTAGGAGCCCGAGCTCCCTGTTAAGAGCGAGCTCCCTAAGAACCCGAGCTCCCTAAGTCCGAGCTCCCTACTAGGAGCCCGAGCTCCCTGTTAAGAGCGAGCTCCCTGTTAAGGGTCCGAGCTCCCTAAGTAAGAACCCGAGCTCCC